GGGCAGCCGTGGTAGGGTGGATAAATTGTCAAAAATTAGTGCTCTAGGAGGAGAGCACTCTTGGATAAGCCGGCAGGCCTGCATCTATGAATAAGATTACAAATGATACTCGGCGTGCGCAGTTGAAAACAATGATCTCTGGCCTGTCATCAGCTGTCCGTTAATGACTGCCCTACAACCATTATTAAAGACAATGACGATTAGCGCAAAATGCGTTTTACCGTACGTCGTAGTAAGCTTTTAACACGTTGGTGTTGTCAGAGTGTTGAAGGTGAACGATCTCGTGGACGTGCAATAAAAGGCTATTGGCCCGCTGAGAAGCAGTGTTAAGTTAACTGGTCAAAGCTTTCGGTCCGACGGACACACCTGGACGCCCTGCTTCGATCTTACCTCCTTTGATTCCTATGTACATTTTCAGACCGTTTCCGCGCATGTTCCAAAACACGGCACCAAGGCGTGGGAAGTACGTAGCTTACTTAGGCCATCGGTCTTGCAAGCCAACTGCCAAGTGTAACGAACGAAGTACGAACAAAATCTCAAAGATATATTCAACTTTCCCAAGCAAGATCACCATTGTAATGGCTGAGATGTTCTGGGAAATACCGCTCCATACGACCAGGCGAGATATGGTAAAAGTCATGCCACTTTTACGGCTCCAATTGGGTCTAAATAGCTTTTCAAGAACTCGGTCGTTGTGGAACTTTTAACGTTTGAACTACGGTCTCCGGCGGAAAATGCAACAACGCCCTCGACCCTGGAAATACTTGACCGGCCTCTCGTCATATTACGTCATCATATGCCGCAGTAGGTCTTAATATTTGCACGAGCGTGTAATGCAAGTCTACCAGCCTGCTGTGATCCCATGCTTAGTCATTCAGTCAAAGCCTTTCGTCTGCCGGGCATTTACATCTTACCAGGTCACTTTCCACACATCTCTCAAAAAAGAGGTGTTCCTGACCCAAGAAGTATTTAGTTAACTTAGACCGGCGATCTCGCAAACTAGAGGGCAAACGTCACGAGCAAGCCAAAAAATCACCAGTGTGTTACAAATTTTCCCGAGAAAACTTCAGATATCATGACGATCTTGTCTAACATTGGTCAAAACGCAGATAGCCTGGAAAATGTGTTTCGTCCTTTCCCTTGCGACCAAATAGAATGCGGTCTTACCCCATTCAGGCCGGACCTTCAAGAACTCCGTCGTTATTGAATTTGCCCCTTCGACCCCTGATTTCTGGGAAACATGCAACAACATCGGTGCTAAGAAACTATATTGCCGCCGCGAAGGGTATCATATTCAGCTCTCTGATTTCATGGCATAATGAAAGTAAACATTAACGTTTTATTTAAGTGGAGAACACACCTGAAGCCAGCAGTAAATATACCGTGAAAAGCATGTTTCCTACTAATGACGTCATCACGGCTTGCTCCTGGGGTTATGCAGAGCTAGTTTGACATATTCGTGGCCGCTGAACGCAGACGAGGCTGGCCACGTGCCGCAAGTAAGGCGTAACCCTGCCGTAAGTCACAAATCTGTCGTCACAGACAATTCGCTTGGCACTGATGAAGCCGAGGCAGAAGCACGGTAATGTAACCCATAAATGTGTAACGCATCGCGTTAATTATGATGCTTGAAGAAAGAAATCGCCTTGATGCAAAAGGATAAGAAAATATATGCTCTCCTTTAGTATCTTGCAGGTAAGGAGCCCTTAAGCTACCTCTACTCAAAGCCATCCCTGGTCTTAATAAAAGAACGGTTCGACGCTATGGTTAGGCTCAACGGATGAGGTCGTTCTTGGAAAAATATCAAGAGCAAAGTTTTAAGTTATCCCTATGATGCAACAGCAGGAAAGAGACAAGGGCAATCAAAGAAACCTGTGTAGCCTGTGGCGTCCGCTGCTGGGTGACCTTAGGCTGGGGATACACCTGATCCTTATGCAGTCAAGTTATCTTTAGGAAAGGTTCGCAACCAATGGGTCATCGATGGTCAATGATAGGTTTGGTCAATTAGATACACATGAACACAAATTCATGCAGAAATGTGATGAAACGTGATAAGCGGCTATTGGCAACAACTCAGTGCACACGGACTCGGTTGTGGTGATAACAAGAGCAATCGCTGTGGTGATGACGAGAACAATGGCTGCGGTGATGACGAGTACAAGTGCCGTGGTGATGACGAGAACAATGGCTTTCAGACCTGCACCACTGAGTCCCGCACACCCGTCTCGTCCGTCATGACTATATGCCGGACGGCAGCTCAACATCTGCCTGTTTTCCCTGTCCAGGGGGCAAAACGGGGCGTGGAGTGCGGGCACCAAAAACAACAACAAAGAAAAACGCAGACGGAAACGTAGGGACGGGCTGGATGGCGCAGTCAAAAATTCAAAACGGAGACTTTTGTTTCTTTTTCATAGCAGGTAATTTTTTTGAGATGGTGGCCTCTTGTGTCAAAGGCTCTTCCGTCAGTGATTATGCGCGGTTAGGGGCTCGGATGCGCTGGAATTTTGTTTGAATAGAAATAAATCCTGCTTCCCTCACTTCACTCCAAGGTGGAAAAATAGCATACATCTGTCATATCCCGTCCTGTCCTTTACTTGATGCATCACGGTAAATGAGCCTAACATACAGTTATCTGCTGTGTTTCATTGAGGAAAAGCGCACGTTGTTTCCGTATCATACGCGGCAACCAAAGAAGTTGTGGCTGTAAAACAACAGCAGACTAAAGCTATATTGTTCGTAGGTGCTGTTATGGTTACAGCCGCGCCTATTGCATTGCGTAGTCATACCCAAAAGAGAAATGTCAACAAAGCTTTATGAATCGGCGACAATATACTTGCTCTTTTGGCAAATTTTACGGCGTATATATACATCTATTTCATCATTTCTTGTCTATATGTATACATATATATATATATATATATATATATATATATATATATATATATAGACAAGCAATAATGAAAGTCAACATTCGTCAGATATCACTGACATATTAGCTATATGCGCCGGGTTATCTTTTTGTCCGGGGTTCTCATTACCTTCTCTTTCCTCTTGTTCTCCAAAACAATCGAAATTAATGGATCATATTTCACTCCCAGTCTACGTTGACCTGCAGAGGGGGCGTATATGTACGCATCCACGCCACCTAAGAGTGAGATTCGTGTCGTCTTTCGGCCACCCAAATCGGTTCTGCCTGTCAGATGCCTTTACCCAGAAAGAGCGTTCTCCGAGAAACGGTGGGATTTAAATAATTCGCGTTGCACGCACATATTTGATTGATAACATAAATGGTACATCGATCAGGAAAAGTTCATGCTATTTTAAAGCTGCCCGCTGGTTTGGACAGATCAACACGTGCTTCATGTGGTCCCAACCTCGCTTCAGGCACTGCACCGCCCGATCCTTCCGTTCTGACATGACGGTTTGGCTCGTTTCCTATTTTAGAAGCTTTAAGTCTTTCGTATACACATTTTATGGCCAGCATAATTTTCAGACTCTAGGAGTACATTTTTGCGTCGCATACACCGCTCTCCACAAAAAAGAAAGCTGAGGTATGGATGTAGGAACAGAGCCGGGGAGGGCATGACCCCCTGCTTTTTGAGAATACCTTGTATCAACCCTATAACGATGCATGGAAGGAATCGACTTTAAGATTGGCAATGCCGCCCCTCCCCCTTCCCCAGTTTCCTGAGGCTTTTCTACCCTTAGTTGGGGAGGGGCGGGGCTTAGATCGAGAGAATGGGCAGGTTAGTTGTTCTGCTCCTTCAATGACGTAATTTTGGTGCAAACCTCTCTCTGATCCATTGTCTCGTCTCCTTCGCCGTGCGTGACGTCATATCATATCCTCCGTCGTGTGTGACGTCATATCATCTGGCTGAAGCCACCGGCGTGACAGGTCTTTACCTCAGATTATTTCAAAAGCCACCCAGGACCCCTCAAGGACGGCCAGGTACCGGCCGGCCGTCACGGTCACTGCAGCGTCTCGGTTGTCAGGGAACAGGGGGGGGGGGGGGGGGCAACGACGCCTCAGCCGTTGATAACGCACCGGGCTGCTCACTTTTCACCGCTGCGGCTGTGCTTCGCGAACCTCATCCGAAGCCTCGGTCCGGGAAACAGAGATGCGTTTCTGGCTTTTGATTTTGCCGCGTAAATTAAGGTGCGCCTTATCGCTGAACCAACTCCAACCGGCGGACAATGGATCACAGTGGCACAGCTGCACGAATCAAGCACTGTAAAAGCGTGCCTTATAATCGGTGGGTGAGGGCTTCTGATGCGAGCCTTTTTTGGAACCGGGCCAAGGTCTTGTCCTGCCATCCTCGACGCTCTGGCCCTACTGCAGCCTGTCTCATGCTGTCTTAAGTGTGCAGAAGGATGCCTTTATGGGGTCAAAAGAAGGACCTATTAGCACCTGCTCTAGTGAAGGAAGAGGCCTTATTATCCAGCTCTTTTTTAAGCTCAGTGATGCTCCCTTAAGCTGCTGGTAACGCGGGCTGCGAGGACAGGAACGGCGGCTGTGACCTTCAGTCTAAGATTGAAAATGGAAGGCCTGATCGAGATCAACTCAATCAGCAGCCCTGTTCGATTCAAATGCAACTTTTTGCTGCACCGTTCAGAGAAGCCACTGTCCGTACGTGACCGGTGTGAAGTGAGCAGGTACTGACGTCTTCCCGCTGGTGCCGAAGTCTGCCTGCCCGCTGGTGCTGACGTCTTCCCGCTGGTGCCGAGGTCTGCCCGCCCGCTGGTGCTGACGTCTGGCAGCCCACTGGTGCTAACGTCTGTCTGCCCGCTGGTACTGACCACTACCCGCTGGTGCTGACGTCTGTCCGCCCGCTGGTGCTGACGTATGCCCTTCCGCTGGTACTGACGACTGCCTGCCCGCTGGTGCTGACGTCACCCGCTGGTGCTGACGTCTGCCTGCCCGCTGGTGCTGACGCTGCCCGCTGGTGCTGACGTCTGCCTACCCGCTGGTGCTGACGCCTCTCTGCCCGCGCCTGCCACAGGAGCAGCTGCAGCAGCTGGAGGCGGCGTTCGCCAAGTCACATTACCCCGACATCTACTGTCGGGAGGAACTAGCCAGAACCACCAAACTCAATGAGGCACGCATTCAGGTAAGCTGCTCACCAGGGCGTGCCACTTGGCACAAATGCATCTTGTGCCAAGTGGCCGTGGCATAACAACGAAACGGTTATATTTTTATTCACAGCAGCATAACGTAAACTGCGTTGAAAGCTTTGATATCATGAAATTAAAGTTCAACTTACGCTAATCTATAACACATACAGGCCTATTCCACCAGAGTGAATACTGGACAACTTGTCCGTGGTGCTGGTGGCATGGAAAGGAAACAACAATCGGGCTGCAAGTTGTGAGAGAGCCCAGATCCTGAATGTTCAGTAAAACCGATTGGCTTCGCACGAAAGTCATATGAATTGTCGCTGAGCGTCCATTTTAATGATGGACAGTAAGATTAACAGCCCATGGCACAGTGCTGGGGCTAATGGGAAAAATCAACCGTCTTTTTCATACGATGAATTTCTTGTCAATCTACTGGAAAAAATCCTCATTAGCGAAGTGGCAATGCATAAAAGTCGGCCGCATAGCGTATTTATTTGCCGCAGTGTCCAGTCAGGCGCCTGCTGTTGCTGACGGCTGCTGCGCCTGCTGTTGCTGCATGATACTACGGAGATGAGGCATGCGCTTGGCGCGCTGAATGATGACATACATTTTACCATACAACACTGTGATATTTCATTTAATGCCACTCAAAACCATATCTTGATGCAGCTATGTCGCTTACCCACGAGCAGAGTACTTAAGAAAAGGTGACAAACTAGTTTGGGCTACTGATCGACAACACGTTCACATCCGTACAAGGGTGAAACACAGGGATATTCTGGCACTGTTTTTCGAGCGTTGCCTAAAGCCATAGTAGATGCGTAAGTCAGGTTTTTCTGATTGAATAACTTTACTAAATGAGAAACCCGGACCAGCTGATGAGAGGAACACACAAGACGTTTTCAAGCTCTGCTCGACACCTAGCGGACGCAGAAACAGGCCTGCCACGCGGAAGTGCCAGAGGCCACGAACCGACGGCCTTCCCTGCATACAAACTTCGACGCTAGCCTGGTCCAGCGAGGGCTGTTCTCTCGGCGCTGCGCCGGACTGCCGTGACGCAGCAGTTAACACACCTGGGAGTGTGGAGACGATTACATTACGTGATCGATGCAATTTTCCAACGGTTCGCCTGCCAGCTGCATGGTTGCGAGCAAATTATTCCACAAATGCTTCGGAAACTTGACGGCGAAAGCGCACAGCCAAAACCACGAACAAACGACATGGATGCGATAGCAACAGCAGCAGCGCATGAACTCTCAGACTCCATCCAGCAGTTTGTCCCATGTTATCGACTGCCCTTCGGCTGATACCTAAAGCCACAATGGTAGCACGATCGCCACTGATGGCACAGCCGACAGTGAATCTATGTGACCATTGATGGCACATCGACAGTGGATCCATGTGTCCACCGATGGCACATCGACAGCGGATCCATGTGTCCACTGGTGGCGCATCAACAGTGGATCCATGTGTCCACTGGTGGCGCATCAACAGTGGATCCATGTGTCCACCGATGGCACATCGACAGTGGATCCATGTGTCCACCGATGGCACATCGACAGTGGATCCATGTGTCCACTGATGGCACATCGACAGTGGATCCATGTGTCCACTGATGGCACATCGACAGTGGATCCATGTGTCCACTGGTGGCGCATCAACAGTGGATCCATGTGTCCACCGATGGCACATCGACAGTGGATCCATGTGTCCACCGATGGCACATCAACAGTGGATCCATGTGTCCAGACCGCAAACCGCCAGACGCACTCCACGCTAGCTGATAACTGTCCACATTACATTCCGGGTGCATAGCAGGCTGCCGAAGCGGCCGGATGACACACTTAGACCTGTGATTGATGAAGGAGACGGCTTGTGATGAGCCGCAGTCGATTGATGAAGGAGACTACTGGTGGTTAGCCGCAATCTTGTGATTGATGAAAGAGGTGACTTTCAGTCAGCAGTAGTCTTGTGATTGATGAAAGAGATGGCTTGTGGTTAGCCGCGGCCTTGTGAGTGATAAAGGAGACGGCTTTTTGGTTAGCCGCAGTTTTATGATTGATGGAGCAGGCGGCTTATGGTTAGCAGTAGTCCTGTGTTCGATGAAGGAGACGACTTGTGGTTAGACGCATATCAGCCCGACAGAATCACTGAAGACTCTTATTTGCGGGGCGTCGTACGGAAAAATTGCCTTGGAAGCCTGTACAAAGCACCCAGACCAACGCGATGAAGTATTTCACTCGAATACGCAGCATTTAACTACGAAGCGCGTCTTTTTGCGTTCCCAAATACCGCACCGCAACACGGCTTTTTTTGAAAGTGTGCATGTCTCTTCTCATTTTTAACCATCATAAAATAACGTTTTGGCAAACAGTGAAGGAGTACATAGCATTTTCACACACAGTTCGAGTACACACACAATTCGCTTCACCTTGTTCAGAGCATTCTGTCTTGGGCTAATATATTTTTATACAACGTTAAAATATTTTGTATCGCTTAAGGCGAGTGAGCGAAGAGGTCGAACACACATGGACGAACGTTTCCACACAAGTGGTTACGTGCACGCACGTCCTGCATCCAAGGTATGGTTATCATGGCACCTTTGCATACGACAGTGATGCAACAATAATTTGCTTAAAATCGGTCCCGCTTCCCCGCGTAAATTATCGTAATAACTACTCCATCAGCAGTCGTCGGGAATCTTCCGTTAGATAGCTTTGCCATTTTATCCTGTACCCAGAAGGCAAACTGATGTCTGAGACGTTCCATCTAAATGACTAATCGAACCAAATAGGGGCCATCTCGGAATGCAATCCAATTTTTGTATGGAATCCTGTTTTGAGGCAACAGTAGGGTTCATGTATCAATGTTTTGCGACATTCATTTGAAAATGAATTTGACATTAAACAATCTCCAATCATATATACCATGTACAGTCATCTGAAAACGGACGGAACGGAACGGAACGGAAGGAGCGTGGAAAGGTTGCGCGGTCCGTGCAGGCATCACGCCCTTGCACATTACAGTGACCGCGTTTGCATTAAATCGCGCTTCGAAAATGAGTCGTCAACTCGCAGGGAGCCCGAAAGCCCCAGAGCGGCCAGTGTTGTGCTTGAGACTGAGTGACCACCTGGGCGGCATGGAGCGACCTGACCCCTCACGACCTCCTCTTCCCCCGGCTGCTCGCGAAGGCCGCCGACCGTCTGTTCGGCACTCCCGCCGCTGACGGGCGTACTCGGCCGCTCCTCCAATCAGCGCGTATTGATCGCGGCGAACGCCCCGTGACGTCACGGGCGCGAGCCGTCTCGTGCCCCCGGGGCCAAATTCGGTTAGCCCGGACACCGGCGGCTGTAATTGGCTTGCGCCGGCTCGTTATCGGCCCCCGACGTCTGGCCGGCCGGCCGGCCGGAGCCGCCGCAGAAAGTACAACACCTCAGAGAGCGACCGGACGGCGAGAAAATGGCTGCCGCGAGCCCGCCCCCTGATGAATGCCCGGAGGTGCTGGGGCAAAATACGGCCAACAGCGGTCCGAAATCCACACAGCTGAATTTACGACGCGACTGCGCGAATCTAGCGTGTGCGTCAGAGGTGGTGATGACTTCTTTGTCTCGCGCGTGATTTTGACATCCCTGCCGCCCAGGCGTCAAGTCTCTTATTGGTTCTGCCGAATCCCGCTCCAGTTTTATACTTGTTCGAGCTTCTTTAGGTTCCAGGCTCTCCAGCGATCCACCGGCTCGATACTTCAGGCTTTCCACCGGTATTACGAAAGGAGCCTGTCTTGTGCTCCTCGGGTGTGGCTATGAGCCCGCCAGCCGACTTGTGTTAGGCGCGCGACCAGTCCCGTGTTAGCAAGATTTTTAGTCAATCTCTCGTGAGCCGATTCGTGAAAAAAATGTCGAGGATCAGGCTAGGCCATTAGGAAGGTAGGCTTCCTATATGCATAGCGTTTAGTGCTTATTGGTGTTTTCTACGAAAGAGGTTATCGGTGTTTGCCCCCTTATGCTCCCTAACGCTGTCCAATTCAGGTTGAGTGTAAGTTGGACCAAATCTGGAACCGTGACTTCACCGAGCACACAGTCGCTCGCCGTGTTCCCAACAGCTGCCGACGCCATACTGATGTCCCCCGCGTTGGTCAGCGGTGGTTCTGACCTCTGGCGCGCCCCTCAGGTGTGGTTCCAGAACCGGCGGGCCAAGTACCGCAAGCAGGAGAAGCAGCTGCACAAGGCGCTGGCGCCGTCGGCGCTCGGGCCCTGCAACACGGCCCTGATGCGCAACATCTACCCTCCGTCCAGCCGCGGCTACCAGCACTACCCGACGGCGCATCAGTCATTCAACAGTATGAACCGCTACCCACAGATGGCGGCCACGTCGTACCCGACCATGGCCCAGCCCTTCGCCATGGGTCACTCGACACACAACATGACCGCCGTCAGGAATGACATGGGTGAGTGGTTTGTGGTGCATGCGTGTGAAAGCGACTGCGAGCTAGTGGCCTGAACTGAGCCAACGCCGTAGATTGCAGGCCACGGTATTGTCTAGTCAGCCGTTGTGTCATACCAACCATCGGTCAGTGGCGTTATGTCAGTGGCAGTGGCAGTGGCAGTGTCAGTGGCACTCGCCCAGAGTCAGGTCTTGCATCGTCAAACGTCTCATCGCGTTGAAATCCCACTGCAGCCAACAACTCTCTAGGGTTCGGCCACCGAGCCGTCTATTCTTTTCATCGGCCTCGTCTGGTTTACAAGGCACTGCTGCAATAGATGCCAGACGCTACTGGATTACTTGAGGAGAAAGCTCGGGTTCAGAGGCCAAGGTTGCAGCATAATCCCATGCATAGCTTACTCCTCCTCCTTGCCTCGGGTGGACCAGGTCTCTTCACCTCTCCACCTCTTGAGCGGCGGCGGGCGCGTGGCCCATTTCACCTGCCAGATCGGACTGATTGGCAGTGTGTCGTGGGTTCGCTGGCGGCGATGACTGGTTGTTTGTTTTTGATTATTGTTGGGAGAGGCGCTTGTCTTTGGACCTTCTGCTTTTGCACCAATCCACTGAGCATATCGTGCAGTGCATCATGCTCATAATCGGAAATAAACAACATCAGCCCCCACGCAAGCTCTCGCATGGTCAGAAGGGATCAATATAGCCTAACATACTAATTCAGTCGAGTCCCGAAAATAACAAATCAGCTATATGCAGCTGAACAGCGAAACCGCTGTTAGGTATATATAGGTATATATTCGCCTTCTGTGCGCAACGCTCAATATCATTGCACCACATGGTCGTGTCGGAGCTGCCTAAGTCTGTCCACACCGAGAAATCTCAGCAGCGCCAGCCACTGGCAGGGTTATAGCGCGGTAGTGGACGCAGGGATCTGGTGGCCAGAGTCCCGGCCGAGGCAGCCCCCCCCCCCCCCCTTCTCCCTCCCAGGCCTTACCTCGGGAGCGGTACCCCATCAGCGACGCGCGGCATGGCTGTGTGAGGTGACAACACAGGTAACTCCGCTAAAACTCTGAGAACACAGAGCGGGCTTCATTCAGGTAAACCATCTGAACAACCACTTTCTTTACGGAATCTGGTCTGTTGCAACACTGCATTCATTACGTTTTCCTAACGTCGCACGTGACTTGCATATAAAATCAGATGCTTCTGCACCCTGCAAACCGGTGCAACAGAACCACTGTTCTGCTGCGCTGTTGTCGGCCACTGAAGAATGCTGGGATGTGTTAGTTAATTTGGACGTAGTACTTCCGCACCTGATTAACGCCTTTTCGGCTGTGGCTTTGCTGGTACGAACAATGTCTCAGTGCTGCACCGCACCTTAGTTCGGGTGGAGGGCCTTCACCAGTGTCTTAGTGCTGCAGCGCAGTTTAGTTCGGGTGGAGGGCCTTCACCAGTGTCTTAGTGCTGCAGCGCACCTTAGTTGCGGTGGGGGGCCTTCGCCATCGGGTCAGATCGACCAACAAAATGAACAGGACGCTCTTCCAAAGCCTCTGCTACTAGCCAAGGCCTCTGCTCTCATTCATTTTGTTGGCGATTTCAGCAGCTCGAAAAAAGCTGAAGTCATATAGCACGATTTTGTTCAATTTCCAGATTTCGCTTATCCTTTATCCAGCCTGACAACAGGCTACTTCCCTGAAGCCCGTTCGCCCGTTCTCCCGTTCGCCCTCCCTGTGGTTGGTTTGGGGCTCGCTGTACTCCCTGAGGGAGCTTATACTTCATAGATCCATAACAGCTCGACAGCTCATAGTGCTGTCGAGCTTATCACTCGACAGCACTCCCTGAGAACGTCTTCGTTTGCTGAGGCTCAGCAATACTTCCTAAAGTCCGGTTGTGCTTCCTTAAGCTTGGCTGTCTTTTCTCGACCTGGCATGGCCCTTAACTGCCGAATGCCTGACGACGGACTCCCCTCTCTGTCACCTGCGAAGCTTGGCTGCTGTCATGGAGACCTGACTGTCCTTGCTGAGTGCTAGACGTCGTTATGGAGACGAGGCTCGGTTCTGCTCGGGCCTGGGGGTCCATCCTGCTGTACTCGGGTTCCACGCAGTCGGACGCCTGACAGCCCGCTTCCTGTTGCAGGCATGCCGATGGAGGACGAGTGGTACAACAAGTCACTCACCGCGCTGCGCATGAACACCAGCCATCACCCAAACTTGTCTGCTCCTATGCTCCAGTACCAAACGTGAACGAGGGCGCCGAGCTGGGCTTCTGGTCGTGGGGCGTGCCGCCGGCCGGCGCGCCGCCGCTGGCGCCGGCCGAGCTGCCGTACGCCGCCGGCGCGCCGCCGGCCGGGCCGGCCGCCCCCGCCAGCGGCACGCCCTCGAGCGATGAGGTCTGACCCGCACCGCTGGAGCATGGGAGTAAAACTAAATCAAAACGGGCCGCGATTGCCCCGGGCGCGCCGCGTTCGCCCCCGGGCGCGCCGCGCGCGGGTTCGATGTGCGTCTGACCGGCACGTCTGTCGGTCGGGACGCGGGCTCGGGCTGAGAGGTGGCCCGGGCCGCCGGGCTGTCGTCTGGCTGGACGCCGTGTCGGGACGGGCCCGACCGGCCGCTCGGGATGCGGAGGACTGTGGCGGACGGCGGGTCCCGCGTGCGCCCTGCCCGGCCGTGCGTCGCCGACAGGGTCGGCCGCCGGGTCGGTAGTCCTAACCACAGTGTGAATTACATCGAACTCCCCTGAATGTTTAGCCTAGAGTGAATGCTTCGTTATCTATCCCGGCTTCGCCGTCTTATTGTCTGTGCAATAACTCTCCCGAACGCTCTAGCTCTCGCTCTAGTCATCTGTTAGCGGTTCGATGTTGGGGGGATGCACGGTCCGTCTCGGAACCCTCCGGGGCGGCGCTCCGAGACGTGTCCGTATTGTTCGGCGGCGTTCCGTTCCGTGTAAAACTCGGTACTTGGTACAATACATCCCTGGATCCGGAGTTCGGGCCTTTGAGCGCTTTAGAAGAGAGATTTTCACTCAGTGGTCATGTGGGCTGAGGTATTGACGGGAGACATTGATTCCCATCCCACAGATTTAAGTCATTTTCTTCATGAAGTCATGAAAAGATATCGCAAGTATCAAATCCTTCGCTCACAAAACGGCATTGAAAGCATTTTCCATCGGTTAAACGCCACAGCCGTGTCAATCGTTGCCTTGTATGTTCGTCCTGGACTCCCGCAGGCGATACGTGGATACAGGAACCTACAGCCAGGGGAGTATGCCCTTTGACAATTGGTGGAAGCTTAGCGTCAGTTCCATACTGACGTAATTACAAAAAAGCTAAGAACGGTCTTGTATCCAATTTCGGGTGATTCTTCACCCTCGAGGAGACGTACCAGAAATGAGCCTGAGGTTCTAATGAGCCTTTTCACAATGACGTTTATTCTCCTGGTATTTATTTAGTTTCGCCGCATTTCGCGGGTACGTAATTCTGAAATGCACGAAAGATGATAAGCAAAGGTTGAAGCCTATCGTTTGTTGTAAAAAAGCTGTCAACTGTCAAAAACGATAGAAGCGTTTTTGTTTCATCAAGTAACTTGTAGTCATTTTACTCATGTGTATTTGGTCCCATGCCACCAAGTAAATAATTGCCGCAAATGGAAAATGACGAATAAGACGCATGACAATAAGACAAAAAACGGTTCCGGAGTTAAAATTTCGGCTATTTTGAGGGTCCTCACGACGAACCATGGGTACCACTGTTGCTCATCCTGTGATTGGAGCATTTCAAATTTGGTGCCACATGATATCCATGCCTAATGCTTGCACAAAAATGGCTATGGCCAGTCAAAGCTGTGAAAGACGCCTGGAACAACTACAGAGTCATGCACTGACGCCATCCTGCATGCTTCAGATAGGTCCACGCTCATGATAAACGGAGGAGTAACTAGATATAGAACATCGCTCGTTGAACACGAAGGACGTTGTTCACGACATGAAAGTTATCCTATCCAGCAACACATCTTTTGTGTTGAACTGGGTGACTGTAGAGGTGAGGCGTTTGTTGAGGCAATGCATTTGGGCCATCAATGAGTTCTACACGTCCGTCTGTGCCAAGAATTGGGAGCATTGTGCTGATCTCAGCTGGTAGTTATCCCGAGCCTATTATCCATGCAACTAGACGCAACTGTCTTATGATATTGTCTCTCATGATCTCTCTCTCTCTCTCTCTCTCTCTCTCTCTCTCTCTCTCTCTCTCTCTCTCTCTCTCTCTCTCTCTCTCTCTCTCTCTCTCTCTCTCTCTCTCTCTCTCTCTCTCTCTCTCTCTCTCTCTCTCTCTCTCTCTCTCTCTCTCTCTCTCTCTCTCTCTCTCTCTCTCTCTCTCTCTCTCTCTCTTCCTCTCTCTCTCTCTCTCTCTCTCTCTCTCTCTCATGATATCCTCTCTCATGATCTCTCTATGATATATACTTATATTCTTAACCTTTCTACACTTCACACAGACTCCAGTGTGTTTTCTTCGTCAGTTGACGCTGGCCGGTGTGCATCACAAGGCGAACATCAGGCTTATGTCAGCTCCAGCAGACCGTCGCCGGGCTTTGTTCGAACAGCCGGCTTTGGAGGACCGACACTGTCTTCTGAGTTAAAGGTCCGGCGGTGAGACGGGGGGTCGTATACTTCTAGTATGTATAGTCTATACGTATATTTCGTATACTCGTAGACGGGTCGTCGTACTTCTTCCAGACGTCGTCAGTTCTGCGCACGTTTACAGGCCACGGTATGACTCTGCGGCTGATAAGAACCGCGAGTGTTGCTGGGGCCCCCTGCTCACTTATGACAGATCGCAACCGTGCGCTCACGCTCGCTGATGATTGCTACGCCTGGCATATTACATTGCCTCGAGCTCGCTGATGATTGCTGCGCCTGGCATATTACATTGCCTCGAGCTCGCTGATGATTACTACGCCTGGCATATTACATCGCCTCCAGCTCCCCGATGATTGCTACGCCTGGCATATCACATCGCCTCCAGCTCGCCGATGATTGCTGCGCCTGGCATATTACATCGCCTCCAGCTCGCTGATGATTACTATGCCTGGTATATTACATTGCCTCGAGCTCGCTGATGATTACTACGCCTGGCATATTACATTGCCTCGAGCTCGCTGATGATTACTACGCCTGGCATATTACATTGCCTCGAGCTCGCTGATGATTACTACGCCTGGTATGTTACATTGCCTCCAGCTCGCTGATGATTACTACGCCTGGCATATTACATCGCCTCGAGCTCGCTGATGATTACTACACATGGCATATTACATTGCCTCCAGCTCGCTGATGATTACTACACCTGGCATATTACATTGCCTCGAGCTCGCTGATGATTACGACGCCTGGCATGTTACATTGCCTCGAGCTCGCTGATGATAACTACGCATGGCATGTCACATTGCCTCCAGCTCGCTGATGATTACTGCGCCTGGCGTGTTACTTGCCTCGAGCTCGCTGATGGTTATCACACCTGGCATATTACATAGCATGACATACCGTACATGTGGGTGCAGTTTGCTCAGCACCTTGATGTGTTGCATGATATACGCATGTGCGACAATGGCAGTAAACATCACACACATCACGTAGTGCTTTCGTCTATTCCTTGCAGCCAGATAGAGCTGACGATGGCGCCTTTTACCCGTACTGAGAGTGTTTGTGCACTGCGGACAGCAATAAAGATAACAACACTTGCATCACTACGGAACACCGCATTTTTGCACGCTGATACACAGCCATGTAATTCATGGCCTCGTCATCGACAGTCGGCTTAGCCGAAGCTGTAAATTTTCAAACGCTGATGCGCACTGACACCCCACGTGCTCCCAGAACGGGCCGCTTAGCATAGTCCAGCACATTTTATCAAGCATCCATTGATTACCCATGCAAATCGTTCGGCATTATACCACCAGAACTTCAAAGACAGAAGTTCAGCACGTGCACAGGACCGGGCGCTGAATAAACTCCCTCGCCGCTCCCGCTTTTAGCGTCACCTATTGATAGATGGGATCCGCCCGCCATCTGTTGGTGGCGCCACG